AGGCAAGGCCGGGCAGGAGGTGTCATCACCGGTACCGAGCGGGAGCTGCCCACAGGCTCCTCTGGAATGACGAGCTGGCAGAGTTCATCGTGCGGCTGAGGGATATGTGCAGCATGGCAGGGCCTGAAGGCCAGCCCCAGCCTGCGCCTGGCCAGGGTAACCGTACCGCCGATCACTGACCCCGCGGTGCGCAGTGGTCAGGGCCACCACAGCCCTGGGGCGCTGACAGCTCCGGTATTCAGCTGAGGAATTCTTCATTTTTGAATCTGACTATTAAAATTGTGATGAACTTTATAATGACTTTGCATTCTTCACATTTTATCAACTATGTGCTTATTTTCCTGCAGATGATTATTTTTCCTGGCTATGTTTTGTGCTTGTTTCCCATAAAATACATCGAGTTCCCTGGGCCTCTGTATCCTGAGAGTTCACGGGATGCATGTTAAGCCATACTGTTGCCTATGGCAGCAAAGGCCTTGAGAAATGTTTCTTCATGGAGAAATTCTCTATGACACTAGTGCTGTTTCAAAGAAGGTGGGTCAGCACATAGTGTAGTGAGTCTCTGGTTGAAGGAGGCCCTTTGAAAATAAGCAAATTATTCCAGCAGAAGTGAGTATATTAGGAAATATTGACATGGCATACGAAACTGAGAGGAGTGCTCAATACACCAGAGGGTCATGCTGCCATCCAGATGGACCCAACAGGCTGGAGAATGGTCTGACAGGCGCACCAAGAAGTTCAGCAAGGGGAAGCGCAAATTCCTGCACCTGGGGAGGAACAACCCCATGCACCAGGACGCACTGAGGGGTGACCGGCTGAAAGCAGCTTTGAAGAAAAGGACTTCGGAGTCCTCATGGACACCAAGGAGAACATGAGCCAGCAATGTGCCCCTGTGGCAAAGAAGGCTATCGATATCCTGGGCTACATTAGGAGGAGTGTCACCAGCAGGACAAGGAAGGTGACCCTTTCCCTCTACTCAGGACTGGTGAGGCCACACCAGGAGTATCGTGTCTGCCTCTGGGCTTTCCAGTATGAGAGAGACATGGACATACTGGAGAGAGTCCAGTGAAGGGCCACTAAGATGACTGAGGGACTGGAGCATTTCTCCTATAAGGAAAGGCTGAGAGAGCTGGGACTATTCAGCCCAGAGAAGAGGAGGCTTAGGGAGATCTCAGTGTGTATAAACAGCTGAAGGGATGTGTTTTCCCAAAAGTGGGAATCGTTCACCTGGGGTGCATTAAGCAAATCCACACACTGAGATATTGCTTTAATACGAAGTTGCACAAGTTTGGGTCCCTGTCCCAAGACAGCACACCCCTTCCAAAATTCAGCGAACATTTATACAGTATGTATTACCATATTTACATATTCAGTGTTATTCTCTTAAGCGATTGGTTAATTTTCTTTCGCCTAGCATGTTAGTTAGTTTGCATGCTCAGTCTTTGCCTGCATCCCTTTCTTTTGGGTCTGGGGTATGTTTAGGGTAGGTGGTCGGGGAGCCGGTGGGCGCGATCTCCCCCTGCCGGAATTACCTTTCTCCAGTTACTGCTGTTTCTTGCTTAGTTCATATTTGTGGTATTCTTCCAATCTCATTAACCTTTTCTCATAGCAAGATGTTTTCTCTGTCAGTCTCTGAAGTCCTTCTTTAGTGATTAACAGCCAAATGTTTTGGACTTACAGGGATGTATGTCCTCCTCTTGATGCATGTATTTTGTAAGGCTCCTCTGCTATCCCTTTGTTATCTTAAAAGAAACAAAACCTAGTGCACGTTTGCATCAATACTGTTGTGGGTTAGGCCGCTCCGGCAACCAAACAGACCCCCGCCCCAGTTGTTGACTCACCCTCCCCCAGCCCCAGGGATGAGGGAGAGAATTAAAGGATAAATGGGATACCCGTGGGTTGAGATAAGAACAATTTAATACAGATGATTTAATACACAGTGTAGATGCTCACCACCCCCTCGTATGCGAAGCCCATCTCGTCCCGAAGCTGCAATCCCAGACGAACGCGAGGCCCCGAAATAGAGAGGGGCAGAGAGAGAGAGAGAGTACTCCGAGAGTGGGAGTACTGGGAGAGAGAGGGGGGAAAAAAGCAATAGAGCAAAGGCACAGCAAGCGCAAAAGAGCAAAAGCGGCGAAAGAGCCAAAGCGCAAAAGCCCTTCTTCCCGGCTGACCCTCACTTTTATACTGGGCATGACACTGCATGATATGGAATACTAATTGGCCAGTTTGGCCCTCAATCTTAAGTTCCACCATAAATCACAAGGGGAATCGGGTCCCCCTTGTCCCGGCTATGCTCCCCCCTTTTCCCACCGTGCTTCTGCACTCCGGCACACTGAAAAGTCCTTGGAGTCCCACGTCCAACCACAAACATCAACTTGCTATCAACATTCTTCTCAGAGCGAGCCTCTGAGTAAAACCAAAACACGGAGCTCTTCTAGCTGCTAAAAAGAAGAGCTAACTGTCCCAGCTAAAACCAGGACAAATACATACTTTTCCAGGATGTTCTTCTTTTAAGGACAACTTGAGAATTCAAGATAATCATCCTGGTTTCAAACATTATGTACACATTTGCTTTATCTGGGTACACGCAAACCGCTAACTTAAGTCTTAGCAGATTCAAGCAAATCCTTCACTTAA